GACTTACTACTTCCCAAGTAAAAAAGAAATGAAGCAAATGAAACAAATTAGCTTTGAGTTTAAATGCCCAGCATTCTACCAACTTTTTTATTTTAAGGATGGAAATTCATCTTTAAAACTAAGGAGAGATTCTGTTCTGAATCTTCGGTTCAAATACTCATTTAGCTGCTAAAAATTAAAAATCTTTTAAAGTATTATTTGACACACCCAAATGCTGGAGGCAGTCACATTCCAGACATTAAGAGCTCTCTAAAACATAATGAGACTAATATTTAAAGTATCTATTGGCTTTGGGGCGCCTGGCTGGCTCAGTCGGTTAAGTGTCTGACTCTTAATTTTGGCTCAGGTCATGATCTCATGGTTCGTGAGATGAAGCCTTCCATCGGCCTCTGTGCTGATGATAAGGAGTCTGCTTGGGATTCTCTCTCCCTTTCTCTCTGCCTCTCCTCCACTTGCTCTCCTTCTCTCTCAAAATAAATATAACAACAACAACAACAAAATATCTATTGGCCCAACAATGGATTTAGACAGTTTAATTTTTTTGTTCTGCAATTCCTGTACTTTCTTTTCCCCTAATACATTTCAACTGCATCCTTCCTATCTGCACACATGATAAACAATAAATGCAGACAGAGGACCAATAAGTGAGTTGAGACAACACTGAATAAAAAAGGTTTTTATCTTTACATTTCAGTATAATCTGGATCACAACCTCAGAATTCCAGATGAAATACTTCAGGTTATTAACTTCAAATAGTTGAGTTTTTATCCAAGAGGAAGTTTCTTTGCTGAGGCTCCATTCTTAATTTCCCATATAAACTTAAAAAATTAACAATTTACCTTACCTCACCAAAAAGCAGAATCACAGGGATATTATAAAAATAATAAGATATCCAAATACTGCACAATAACTTGTTAAAAGCCTTTTTCTTTTAACCAACAAAAACTTACAAAATATAAGGACACATCAGCAAAACTGATTAAGTAAAAACCTCTGAAAAATTCCTCCTCCATAAAAGCAATGAGAACACTGGCAAAAATTGTTGAGAATCAACTTTTTATGAACTGTGGGAATAACCAAAGGCTTGTAGCAGTCTGAGGAGGGTTTATTAAAGAAAATTGGCTGAATCTTAGAAAAAACAATGAGTTTTATGATGTTTTAACTTTCCTTATTCTTATTCAACTCTTGCAAGCTCTAGAGTAGCCTTAAAATCCAACAGTCTGCTATAAACATTGGGGTACAAGTGCCCCTATGCATCAGCACTCCTGTATCCCTTGGGTAAATTCCCAGCAGTGTTATTGCTGGGTCATAGGGTAGATCTATTTTTAATTTTTTGAGGAACCTCCACACTGTTTTCCAGAGTGGCTGCACCAGTTTGCATTCCCACCAACAGTGCAAGAGGGTTCCTGTTTCTCCACATCCTCTCCAGCATCTATAGTCTCCTGATTTGTTCATTTTAGCCACTCTGACCAGCATGAGGTGGTATCTCAGTATGATTTTGATTTGTATTTCCCTGATGAGGAGTGACGCTGAGCATCTTTTCATGTATCTGTTGGTGTCGCACTCTCAACAATAGCCAAATTATGGAAACAGTCTAAATGTCCATCAACTGATGAATGGATAAAGAAATTGTGGTTTATATACACAATGGAGTACTACATGGCAATGAGAAAGAATGAAATATGGCCCTTTGTAGCAATGTGGATAGAACTGGAGAGTGTGATGCTAAGTGAAATAAGCCATACAGAGAAAGACAGCTACCATATGGTTTCACTCTTATGTGGATCCTGAGAAACTTAACAGGAACCCATGGGGGAGGGGAAGGAAAAAAAACAAAAAGAGAGGTTAGAGTGGGAGAGAGCCAAAGTATAAGAGACTCTTAAAAACCGAGAACAAACTGAGGGCTGATGGGGGGTGGGAGGGAGGGGAGGGTGAGTGATGGGTATTGAAGAGGGCATCTTTTGGGATAAGCACCGGGTGTGGTATGGAAACCAATTTGAGAATAAATTTCATATTAAAAAAAAACAAAACACCAACAGTCTATAATCACAGTGAAAACCACCTAAGGGTTCAGAAAAAGGTTGAAGCTCCTTCAAAGCCCCATTCTCAGAGAACTGTCATCATCTAACCTATCTGGTGGTTCCCTGGAAGACCTCACTCACAAAGCTGCCTTTATTTGACCTGACTTGGAATTTACCCAGTACAAAAAACCTAATCCCCAAGGTTGTTAGTTGAAAACAATACATGGAATTGCTTAGCAGTATGGCTGCCTGAGGCAGTAGGTATCAGTTAGGGCAAGTAATAGTCTTATCAAAAAGTTTCAAAAGAAAAGCTGAGGAATGAGATATCTGTAAGGGGCTTTAAAAAGTTCTTAGTATTCCCAGGAATCTAGAAGTCTATGTGTAGGACCATGTCTGTGCACATGCTCAAGAAAGACCTGAGAAAGTCCTAAGCTCACTCCTCAGACCTTGAGGCTCTGTGCAAGCAGGAAGTGAAGTGCGAAGTACAAGCAGGAAGGAAGTGTCACTGGCCTGGTTGAGTGCTGAAGGTGAGCCCCAATGTCCACATAGAGCCCTTCACTAAAGACTGAAAGACTTATTGGCTCTAAACATTTAAGCAATCTTCGTCCAATCATTAGCTAACCACTAACCTAACCCAGCAGAGACTAATGGTCACATATAAAAAAGAATACAGACTTTACAGAATTAGTTTAGAAAGGTTACGAAACAACAAGAGCAAACAGCAACAAAAACAAACTCTAGGCAAAGGGGAAAATCTGATTTTGAGAGTTGCTACATTATTCAAATGTGTGGTTTTCAACAAAAAATTGAGATATGCAAAGAAAAAAGAAAGTAGGCCCATACTCAGGGAAAAAAAGGGAGTAAACTATAACTGTACCCAAGGAGCCCAGATGTTAGACTTACTGTACAAAGACATTAGCTATTTTAAATATATTCAAAAAACTAAGGGAAATTATGTCTAAAGAACTAAATTAAAGTTTGCAAATAATGCCTCACAAATAGAGAATCTCAAAGAGAGAGAGAGAGAAATTATTAAAAAGAAAAAAAAGGGGTGCTCATGGCGAAATGGTTGCCGTCCACTTCAGCCAGTCACGGACCTCAAGAGTCCAGAGTTCTGAGCCCCTGCTCTGGCCTCTGGGGCTTGATGGCTCTCAGAGCCTGGAGCCTGCTTCCATTCTGTGCCCTCTCTCCTGACCCTCCCCATCTGCTCTGTCTCTCTCTGTCCCAAAAATAAATAAACGTTAAAAAAAAAAAAAAAAAAAAAAAAGAACCAAATAGAAATTCTGGAGTTGAAAATTACAGTAATCAGAATAAAAATTTCAGGGGCACCTGGGTGGCTCAGTTGGTTGAGCATCCTTGACTCTTGATTTCGGCTCAGGTTATGATCCTATGGTTTGTGAGATCAAGCCCCATGTCTGGCTCTGTGCTGTCATCACAGATTGGGATGCTATCTCTCCCTCTCTCTCTGCCCCTTCCCCCCAACCTCAAAATAAATAAATAACCATAGAAAAGAAAAAGTTATAAACATTTTTCACTGGAGGGACTCAAAGGCAGTGAAAGGAAGCACAAAAAAGAATCTGTAAACTTGAATATAGGTCAATTGAGATTATCCTGTCTGAGGAACAAAAGAATAGAGAATGAAGACAAACGAACAGAGCTTCAGAGACCAATAAGACATCATCATGTATACCAACATATGCATAATGGGATTCTCAGAAGGAGAAGAAAAAAAGGGACAGAAAGAATATTTAAAGAAGTACTGGTCAAAAATTTACCAAATTTAAACATTCAAGCAGCTCAATGAACCCCAAATAGGATAAAATCAAAGAGATTCTAAACACGTCATAATCAAACTGTTCAAAGACAAACAGAAAATCATGAAAGTAAAACATAAGGAACAAAATGTTGATACTCTCTTGAAGGTTGTCTACAAATATATCTGAGACAGAGTGGCTTCAAGAGTAGATCTCAGAGTCTTAGTTCAGACACGTACGTCTTTGGAGGTAAATTAGTTGAGTATAAATTTTCTGTAACTCCTATGGAATGGTTTTTTTCTCACTGTAATTTTTCAGAATAACAATCAACCAAATTCTCCAACTCAGTTAAATATTTAGTTTCCCACACTAATCTCAAAGCGGCAACAGATTCAAAAAGGATAAGAAATCTTCTTTTGCAGAAAGATAGAGGCATCAGCAGCTGATGACTGATTATGGCTTTTATGTGGGAATGTTCTTTTAGGTATCTGAATAAAAGACTTAATTTATGTATAGTGGCTGATTAAGAATTTGAGAGGTGGGAGTTAATCACTAATTTTTTGGTAGCTGATTCACAAGAAAGTACAGTGACATAGTTGTATCTCAAGCTAAAAAAACTTAAGAAAAAAATTTTAATCTCAATAATAGACCAAAAGTATAAATTTTACTATATTTCCCTCTCTCCTCCTTCCATATTAACTTAAATCAAGAAGAGGCATTTAGATCATCACACTTTTTCTCTCAGGATTAGAAATTAGGGTAAACATGAGGTTCCTGATTTATTACTATTCAATGAAAGCTCTCTGTTGTACTCTCTTTGAATACTGTAAGTATGCTTTTTAAATGTATATACATCTTCATATTGAAGTATAACAAAGCACTTTGGAAACATAATGGAAGAATAATAACAGAATACATGGTCAAAGACACATCACTATCCTCTTTTTAAGGGCATAACATAAAATTTCAAACTGGAGGGTAGCTTTTACCCTTGTTCCACAGATAAAGATGTCAAGAATGAAAAGGTGGGTATCAAGTGTCTTACTCAAGACTAGGAAAATAGAACTGTAACGATTTCCAAAAACCAAGAATAAATTAATCAATAAAAACATTGGGACTAAGGCCAATGATAGAGAAAAGCTGTATCTGGGTGGCCTCTAGTCTTCATGATAGATACTCATAGGTGGGGAAAGCTACTTATTGTACAGACTTCCCAAAACTAACCTGTAATGATAAGACATTCATTGTGATCCAACACCTCAGTGAAGAGCCGTGAAACAATTAACTCGGGGTTAATTAAAAAGCGGATTTCTTCTTGCACAAGTCCTGCACCGGTTACACCACCTCCAACAAAACGGTTTGCAAAATCCACCTATTTGGAAAAATGTGGCATGTTAAATGATTATCTAAAATACCTACATATATGATAAAGAAGCACTTTCTCTCTTCGTTTCCCATATAAATCAATCCCCAAATTAGTAATCTTCCAACGGAGAACAGACTGTGGTTGACTGCACTCTTTCCATCTCACTCCAGGTAACATCTTTGCATACTTCTTTAGATTCCAAAACCTTAGAAGGAACCTGGAAAATGGAGCTTTTAGGCAAAAGCCTCAGTGTAATCATATAGACTCTTATTTACAAACCTTATATGTACTACAAGGGCCACAAATCAAAGGAAACTTTATCTGGAAAGGTTTCAAGATCATTTCCCTACCATTCACTACTCAATTTCCATTTATGGATTTCATATGACTCTAATATAATTATATCTTTCTTATATACTATGGCAATCAAACATTTGTCCTTAAAGAACTGAAAAATTTAGTAATTGCCCTTTTTTTTTTTAAGTAATTGCCCTTTTTTTGGATAACCTTTTTCTTCTGTGAAAGAATAAAGAGATAAAATTTCACCCTAAATTCAGTTGCAAAGCCCAAACTACATGAACATTACAAACTGTTTATTTTTACTATACCTAAGGAGAAAAAAAAAGAAAACAGGAAACCTAGTTTAACAACAAAGACTCATAAAATTGGCTATTGTTGATAATGCTGCTATAAACATTGGGATGCACGTTTATGGAAAGAGCCCAAATGTCCATTGACTGATGGATAAAGAAGATGTTTCATGTATATATATATATACATACACACATACACACAAACACACACACACACACACACACAATAGAATATTACTCAGCCATAAAATAGTATGAAATCTTGCCTTTTGCAATGATGAGAATGGAGTCAGAGAGTATTATGCTAAGTGAAATAAGTCAGAGAAAGACACATACTATATGATTTCACTCATATTTGGAGTTTAAGATACAAAATAAACAATCACAGGGGAGGGAGAAACAGAGGCAAACCAAGAAACAGACTCTTAACTATAGAGGGCAAACAGAGGGTTACCAGAGGGTAGATAGGTTGGGGTGGGGGGGGGG